ACCACTGAGCAACACGGGCCAGGGCCATGCATATCTCTCTCAAGAGCAAGGACATTCTCTTATGTAACTATGGTATAGTTGTCAAATCAGGAGATCTAACATTGATAAAATATTATTGCTTATTCCACAGTCCATATTCAAATGGTAGCAATTGGCCCAGTAACATCCTTTCTGGCATCCCTGCCCATCAAGGATCCAATCTGGGGACCCTGCAGCATTGCACTGAGTTCTCATACCTCGTCAGTCTCCCTTACTCTGACCTTGACATTTTGAAAGACTCCTGCTGTTTTGTGGAATGTCCCTTGAGTTCACTGGCTTGCCTGATGTTTCCTTATAATTAGACTCACGTTAGATGTTTTTCTGCTGGAACCTCAGAAGTAGTGCTATGTCCTCAGTGCATCCCATTGTCACCCGTTTTGTCCCATTTTCAATGATACCAACTCATCACTTGGTGATAAAGGTGTCTGTAAGGTTTCCCCACTACAAGGTTACTAATTTTCCCTTTGTAAATAATTTGTGGGAGATCATTTGAGACCAAATAGATATTCTAGATGGTTTTTATAATCAGAAAAGTCATCACTAAAGTCTTGCAACCTGTAAGGCCTGAGCTTGCCCACCTAATTCTAAACATCAACCAAGTTGCTGCCCCACCCCAGCTACAATACCTTTGTTTCAACACACCTTACATTATTTCCTAAACTAGCCTAAGGATGCATTTTACCTGAGGTTCTTTTGAAAGATACAGATTCCCAGGCCCCACCTACACCTACTACTCAGAATCTCCAAGGGAGGGGCCTGAGAATATATTTTGTAACAAGTGCCTTGCAGGTAATTCGTGTCTTCAGGCTGCCTTTGGGAAACACTTCATCTAATAGTGGTGTTTAGTCATCGAATAGCTGCTAGCTGCTTGGGTGAGGGGGTCACTGGGTTGTCTCAGGAATGGATGGGAAAAACAGTAGTGACATCCATAGGTCACATTTATTAAGCACTTATTTTGTGCTAGGCCCTGTTCTAACGCTTTATGTGGATTATTTCCCTAGATTCCCACAAGTCTATGAGGAAGATACTTTTATTAACCCCATTTTATGGACCAGGAAACCGAGGCACAAAGAGATTTGAAAACTTGCCCAAGGTCACACAGCTAGCTAGCAGTGTGGATGCTGGGAATAGGGGACTGTGCTGTGTGCCCGAGACCATCAGTCTAATGCCACCTCTACTTTGTAACAGGCAAATTACTCCCTGCCCCTGCCTTCACTTCCTCATCTGTATAATGGGAATGCTATTAGTGCCCCTCTTGCAGGGCTGGTTAAGAGGACTCAATGAGAAGGACTTTTCTGAGTAAATGGAATGCCTGGCTTTGATCACCTTTCAGGAGCTAAAGGAGGGAGGGTTAAATCAAACTTATGTGAGAGCAGCGCTGTGCCAGCAACCAGGGATGAGAAAGATTAGCATCATTGTCGCTAGTCCTGTACTCATAATGCCCAGCTGGCCCCCGTAAAGGACATCCAGCTGACACTGTGGAAGGCCAGGGCGTAACAGAGGAACAAAGGCAAGAGAGCATCCAGGGGTCACGTGGAGGGCTGGGCAGGGCAGGTGTCCACCGGGTGGTGGCCACCGTGTCAGCCCACCTGAGTCTCCTCCCCCTGCAGGGCAGGTCCTGGCTCCAGCCCTTCAGGTTTGAGGACCCGCCTCCCTGCAGTGATGGGCTGTGGGCAGCCCGAGCCTCGGGATACACTGCCCCCTTCAGGCTCTCCTCACCACTGCACCTGCCCCGAACAGCTACGGAAAGAAGTGGCGTTGTAAAAGGGTCCTGTTTAGCTCCATTTCAACTGTAGGAATATTTGAGCCTACTTGGGGCCAAATATGGAGGACAGTAGTGCACAGACAGGCATAATCCTTGCCCTCACGGTTAACTTAGTATGGAAGACAGCCTTTAAAACAAATAATTGCAGCCCTGGCTGGTGTGGCTGTTGGTTGGAGGGTGCTCCCGTACACCAAAATGTGGTAGGTGCCATTCCCAGTCAGGGCACATGCCCAGGTTGCGGGTTCATTCCCCAGTTGGGGCCCGTGCAGGAGGCATCAGATCTCTTTCCACCACCCCACGCCCCCGCCAAAAATTAATAAAAGACTTAAAAAAACACACAATTGCACAATTTAATTAGAAGGCGTGAGTTGCCTGACATACACAGATATTCAGAACACTTGTACTTGCCTGACACATACAGATATTCATAACATTTTACTGCTAATATACACTGAGTAGGATTTCTAGACTTAACCCATAAAATCATAGGATGCCCAGTTACATGTGAATTTCAAACAGTTTAGTATGAATATTCCTGGCATTCACTTCCTAACCCAGGAAAATTATACTCCCATGCAATATTTGGTACATATTCACACTAAAAAGTTGTTTGAAATTCATATATAACTGAGAGTCCTATAATTCTGGCAACCAGAATATTAAGCAATGAGGTTATAGAAGTAAACAAGAATACTAATCTCAGAGTTTATAGTCTAGCAGGGGTATTTATACCTGAGTTTAATAAATGCCCTGATTAACACTAGTAGAATCTTCTAGAGGAACTTCATACATGAAATTCTGATCTAGACATCCAAAGTACAGTTGGGAGGCAAAGATGGGGGCTCGTGGTGGGGAGGCACACCAAATATTCCAGAGGAAAGGTGGAGGACATGACCCACTTGAGGTTAAGAAGGTACAGATGGTTCATGTGTGGAAGTGAATGTAAGGGGTTGAGGTTGGAGAGGGAGACAGAGGACAGGAGGCCTGGAGGGCCATGGTGAGGTGTTGGGACTTTACCTAAGGGTAACTGGAGACTCTGAAGGGTTTTAAAGGATATGACCCTCTGGCTACTTGGTGGAGAATGGATTAGATGTCAGCTAGGGAGCACTGCAGAGAAACCAAAGGAGTTGAGGCAAGAGTTCAGGTGAGATCATGGTGGATTTTGAGACACTGATGGTAGTAGGATGGTGAAAACACACAAATGTGTTATGTGGGAGCTAAAATCAATACAATTTGTTGATATGGGGTGTTGAGGTGGACAAAGGAGTTATATATATATATTTTTATATATAACTGATTTATATATATATTATTGATGTCAGAGAGGAAGGGAGAGGGAGAGATAGAAACATCAATGATGAGTCATTGATCGGCTGCCTCCTGCTGGGGATCAAGCCCGAAACCAGGGCATGTGCCCTGATCAGGAATCAAACCATGATCTCCTGGATCATAGGTCAACTCAACCGCTGGCCGGGCAACAAAGGAGTTTATGATGATGTTCAGGTTAATTCTTGGGCAACTGGTACCACCTGTGGGAGAAAGAGGCTAACCTAGCAGGTGGTGTGGGTAGTAAGAGGGCAGAGGATGAGTTCAGTTAGAGCCATGCAAAACTTGACACCTTTAAGTCATGTGGGTGAACAGGTCTATAAGGAAATGGGTCCTATGTGCCTGGAGCTTCAGAAAGGTGTATGGTCTAGAACTGTGGCTCTTGACCCATTGGCACAGAGATGGTAATGAAAGCCAAGTGGTGAGTGGGTAAGTCTGCCCAGGGAGAGGGGGAGTAGGAGTCTAGGACAGAGCCTTGGAGAATTCCAACAGCTAAAGGAAGGGAAGCAGGAGGCGACCGCGGAGGACATAAAAGGACTATGGTAGAAAAATAGGAAGAGAAATCAGGATGGTGTTGCAGAAGCAACAGCTTCTAAAAGGACGGAGGTGCCTGGCCACCATGGCTCAGCAGTTGAGCATCGACCTATGATCCAGGAGATCACGGTTTGATTCTGGTCAGGGCACATGCCCGGGTTGCAGGCTTGATCCCTGGTGGGGGACGTGCAGAAGGCAGCCGATCAATGACTCTCTCCCACTCTCCCTTCCTCTCTGAAATCAATATATTTTAAAAATAAAAATAAAAGAAGGGGTCACCCTAGTCGGTTTGGCTAAGTGGTTAAAGCGTCAGTCCTTGGACTGAAGCGTCCCAGGTTTGATTCCAGTCAAGGGCATGTACCTCAGTTATAGGCTCAATCCCTGGCCTGAGTTGGGACACATGTGAGAAGCAACCAATTGATGTGTCTCTCTCACATCAATGTTTCTCTGTCTCCCTTCCAGTCTCTCTGAAAAGCAATACAAAAAATATCCTCAGATGAGGATTAAAAAATAAAATTAAAAAAATAAAAGGAGGGAGGGGTCGAGAGCACTAAATATGTTGAAGTTGGAGCTGGAGGACCAATGTTCTGCTGGGTTTAGTGATAGCTAACCCAGCTATTTCTGTATGTAATTAAAAATAAGTAGCCTTGCCCAGTGTGGCTCAGTGTGTTGGGCATAGTCCTGTGTACCATAAAAGTCACCTGTTCGATTCCTAGTCGGGGGCACATGCCCAGGTTGCAAGTTCGGTCCTGGCTGGGGAGAGTGGGGGAGGCAACTAATCAATGTTTCTCACATTGATGTTTCTCTCTCCCCCTTCCTGTCTTTAAAATCAATAAAAACATATAATAAAAAAATAAGTAAACGTTTGAGTATTTGATCTGTAATAAAAGCTCAACTTGGCAAAAACTTATTGTAGGGACACAGATTCAGTAACAGAAAGTGTTTGCCAGATGTCCCACGGCCAGGAGCAGAGTGCAGAACTTAAACCACACTTAGGACCTCAGATCCTAACTTGCAAAACCTTTACTACAATGTCTTGGGGTCGTTGCTTAGTCTTTTGAATGGAGCTGAAGTCACGTGTGTAAAGCCTTGCTTCATGGAGCAGTCACTTCTCACCTCACCGGACCTCCCGAGAGAAGTGGGGGTGAGTTCACTTTCCAGAGGAAAGACCCAGAGAGGCTCAGCTAGTGAAGTGTCAGAGCTGAGATCAGAGCCAAACAGGACTCACCTGTGACAGACAAGAACTTCCCCTTAGAAAGAGCAACAATTTTCTAGAGGCTCCCTAGGCCGACTTCAGCAAGTGGTAGTAATGAAAATAAGCACTGCAGCTCACCAGTTGGATAAATTATGAAATTTATTTATATTTCGCCTTTTAAAAGCCAGAATGTAACAAATTTCACTTTCTGGAAAATCATCTTATTAGAAATACATGAAGTGCACTTAATACAAGGAAATCAGTTTCTTGGTACCACCAGTGAGACGGACACATTCTCTTTAGTTCACTCAAATGAAGGTTTTATTCAATTTCCCTTTAAACTTAGGCCGAGATAATCTCAATTCAGGGAGGTCTGAGTGAACGCTTCCCAAAAACTACAGTGAAGAAACTGACCTTAACATCTGGGCGCTCCCAAGCAACAGCACATTAGAAAAAATTACTTTGCCCCAAAGGGCCCGTCTCTATTGGTTACTAGGCATCCGAAGTTCTAACTGGCAGGTAGGGAGAGGCCCACAGCAGCAGGGCACAGGCCCAAAGCCCGTCACTTGCAACTTCAGACACTAACCGGAAGAAATTTTGACATCAGACTACAGAGGTCTGACGTGAAAAAGCGAACCTAAATCCAGATGCCCTTTGGTCGATCAGAGGTTTTGCTCCTACGGATTTGAGTGCCAGCTCTTAGCTTTGTGTTTACTAACATCATGAAACATATCGAACTTCAAGCTTCTTGAGCTGCCACCAAAGCAAGTTTCCAGGAGAGAGTTTCCATTAACAACTGCTCATAGGAGATGTTGTGCCTTTGAACAGTGTCTTGTCAGAAGAGATGGCAGGCCGTGATATTAGATTTCCTACCACCTCTCTCCGATAGAAAAGCAAGGCTCAGTTTAATCTAAATTAACAAATAAAAGAACTGGTATCCACCTGGGGCCCAAACCCCTTCCATCTTATTCAGTCGAGGGCTCCTTTTTGTGCCTCAAGGATAAGAATGTTAAGCAGACTCCCAAACAGAGAAGTAAACATGACCCAGTCATCTGAAAATATGTTATTAGTTTGAAAATCATATGCTAAAAGCTATGGTCCTCCTGTCTCTCTTAGCTGACCGTCATCCCCACTTATGGAGAAATGAAGTCTAACCTAAGTTTCTAACCTAGAAACACTTATTTCCACTAAAAACATGTGGTTACACCTTATCCTAAAAAGGCACCATGCAGGTATTTAAGACTGTACCAATTCATTCTAAGGGTGTGCAGGAGTGGCAGCAAAATATCACTAATCAAAACTTCGAGCATCAGACCACGCTAAACCCAGAACATTCCCCCCAGCAGGGCTTTTGAAAGGTTTCCTGGGAGATAACTCCAGCTCTGGCAGCTGCTACCAAAGAGCAACTAACAGGAACTTCCTCAGCACAGGAGCTCCATCACTGATCAGATGCACTGTTGCCAGAGCTCACACACCTCAAGAAATGAGGAGAGGAGACACTTGTCTCATTTGTGCTATTCATGACCCACGAAAGGTCCTGGCTGGCTCAAAGGACCTGAGAGATGAATGCTGAATGAGAAGAGCAAGTGTAAAACAAAGACAGGTGAAGCTGGGTTTTCTTCTGGAAGAGGAAGCAGAAACTCCAGGAAGGAGCTGAGGAGCAATCAAAGACAAGAGATGTGACAAAAAGGGTTAACAGTAGGGGGAGGAGCCCAAAGGAAAGGAAGGCTCTGACCTGGGAATCTGTTTCCCTGTTAGAAATGACCCTGTCCTAATACCAGGCTCACTTCCAGGTCTGTTGTATATTTAAGGTTTCACACATAATACATAATGGAAGCTCTGGAACACGAGACGGCCAGCAGACACCCTGCTCACTGATCGATGATGGAGCGCTGCAACACCTGATTCATCATGTCCTCCTCATCGACATCGTAATCCTAGGGGCAAAACACACACACAGCTTCAGCACCTGTTTGCAGCTGCAAAGACTCACTTTCAGTAGCAGAAGCAGGAAAGCTGAGTGCGGGGCCCTGGCGAGGGCTGCCAGGGGGCCAGGTCCCAGCTCCACGGGCAATGCTAGCCACAGAACTCTAGGCAGACTGCTTGATCTCACTGCTTCATCCCGACCACGAAAACAACGATGGCTCCCTCAGATAGGGCGAGTGAGGACCAGAGAGCACCCAGATGGACCTGGCGCAGACCAAGTGCTCAAACGTGGAGTGCACTGTAGTGAAACTAGCCTTTCTAATCAATGAGGCAAGGTTTTCTATTTGGGCATTATATTAATCTTTATAGCATTAACAAAAAGGACAGTTATGAGTTTCAGACACTGTACTAGACCATTAATAAATACTCTTTATGACAATTTAGAAAAGAGTCATGCTTTCCTTCTCAGGTCCTGAAATATAGCCATTAAGACTGACTACTACTCTAAAATTCTAAATTGACACTTATATGTATAAACAAAAGGTTTATTCCAAGTAGTTGGCCAAATTTATCTATCACTATACTGCCAAGACAACAGTATGCTGCTCAGAACCACTCAGCTCTAGGGAAAGGACACAAACCTAATGACCACATCTGGTTAGTGGATGCGCTTTGGCCTGAAGTATTTTAAAAATAAATATGTAAGACGTCATATGAAATTCTGCATTCCCAGCTTCTTGGAGTTGGGGTCGGCGGAGGAGACGGGCAATACTGTACCTGTATTTCCACATGACAACTATCAGCTGGAGCTGATGACAGCATAACGAGCCATACAAAGTCCAGCCTGAAAATCCCATGGGGACCATTTCCATTACTTGCCTAGCTCCATGGGCATCTAAGCCTAAGAATCCTAAACCAGATTCTGTAACAGGTAGAAACTACACACACCAAAAGAAAATATGCAAAAATTTGGGGGGTGGCAGGGGCCCGCTGTCAGTCTACATGGCTGGCCATGTAGTTGAAGTTTATCATCTTCAATGCCACACAAGAAAAACTGTGGCCACTCACCTGGCTCACAGACTGCATGGCTGCCATTGCAGAGAACCCATCACGTCAGTGACAAAGCTCAACAATGGGGCCCACGGTTCTTCAGGTAAGAGGAAGGAGGGAGGGATCAGAGCCCAGGCTCCACTCACCACAAAAGTGTCGTAAGAAAACTGGTGCCGCCGCTGGATATGCTCGATGAAGTTGGCACTGCGGTAGTTGGGGTCTCCCCAGGGCATCGAGGCACATATTGGGCAAACCTTTCAACAAAGAAGCATGGTCTTAGGCGCCTAATGTTTTGAGCTGACATCACCCTCTGTGGCTTGTGTCAGGACAGCTTTCCTAACACACCAGGTCACGGCCAGGCCACTCCCTTGTGTGTACATTCACATCCCAGAAAATACTCTGTCTCCTACTCAAGTCGAATGACCCTCGGGGGTGGATGAAGGCTTAAGGCATTATACCACCCTCTTATCCTCTACTGTGGTCGGAACAATGCATCAGCCCAGGCGGGGCCCAGACTATGGCCTTCCAACCCAGCACACAAAAATGATCCAAGACACAGAGAAAATCAAAGAAGTGACAGATGAGCAATGTCCCAAGGAAGTTAAAATACAGCCTTCTGTGCTATTTTTACAAAGTAAATGCCCAGATATGGAAGCTCAGGCTGAAAAGCCCTCACACAAGAGGTTGATTTGGGCTTTGAAGACTGGAAGGTATTGGGAAAGACAAAGAACACATGAAAGGGCGTTCCAAAAGAGCAACAGCAGTAGCAAGGAGAAAAGGCCAAGAGGTAGCATTATAGGAAAGCAGCCAGATAATCAGTGTGGCTACAATGGAAAATTTATGGAGATGTGCAGAGAAAAGCTGGGGCTGGGAAGAAGCAGGTATAAGCGGTCCGGCTTAGAGATGGAGCCCCACCATTCACAAGGAATCAATAGTGACAAGGGGGTAGGCAAGAGATGAATCTGAAACACTGGAAGACTCCTTGAGTGGAAGAGTGAGGCAGGCAGCTGTAGCACAAGTCAGGACGAGAGATAGAAGAGGGTATGCTTCCAAAGGGAAGTGCTGAAATACTGACAGTTAAGGAGTTCTGTAGGGGGACAGGAGATGGAACAGAGGGAAAAGCGATGAAGGAAGAGAAGCTTCACAGAGATAAAATGATCACAGGAAGCCAAAGGAGGGGGAAAAAAGAGAGAAATTAGGTTGCAGTAACCAGAAACCAGAGCAGATCAGCAATATCAATCAAAATTATGAGTACACGTAACCTCCGACCAAATCAATCCACAGTTAAAAAGACTATTTTACAGCCCGGCCGGGTGTGGCTCAACGGTTGAGAGTCGACCTGGGATCCAGGCGATTGGGGTTCGATTCCCGGTCAGGGAACATGCCCGGGTTGTGGGCTTGATCAATGACTCTCTCATCATTGATGTTTCTATCTCTCTCTCTCTCCCTCTCCTTTCCTCTCTCTGAAATCAATAAAGATATATTTTAAAAACTAAATAAATAAAAAGTAAAAATAAATTTAATAAAAAGACTATTTTACAGACAAACAAATGCAAAGATATGTTAAAATTTATGGTAGCCTTTTAAAACTTACTTTGAAAAACTTCAAACCTACAGAAAAGTAATAGTTTGATGAACCNATAAAAATAAATTTAAAAAAATAAAAAGACTATTTTACAGACAAACAAATGCAAAGATATGTTAAAATTTATGGTAGCCTTTTAAAACTTACTTTGAAAAACTTCAAACCTACAGAAAAGTAATAGTTTGATGAACCAGCCCTTGCCTCCAACACCTAGATTTAAATTTGGCATATTGACTTCAGCAAAAAGGAAGTATTTTTAAAGGTTAAGGAAATTAAAATGTGTATGGGCCAGACATATCCCACAGGCTGCCAGTCTGTGACCTTAGAGGTAGATCAGAGAGCTCCTGAGATAGAAGGAGGAATGCACACCAGATACTATGAATTTAGTTAAAAGCAGAATTCAGTGTTATCTGTGGAAAGGATGGGGGCAGCTCATGCCAGGAACCTAATGCAGAGAACAGCCATTAGGAGACAAGAAACTGTGCCTGCCTAGCAGCAACAGGGTTTTCCTGAAAATGGGGTACATGATGGGCCAAGCCAGCCCAGTCCCCCAGCTTGGGAAGCTGGGATAAGCAGATGGAAAGGGTGTTCACTGGTAGAATCTGTTGCAGCACAACTTTAAGAACACATGAGCCCAGTGTAAAAAGTGGTTGCACTCACAAGAATTTAGACTTGAGAAGGAATTCGATAAAGTCAAGAGAAGATTTAAGATATTCCTGAAAAGGGGCAGCTGGATCTTAAGATTTCCAACAAAGAAATAAAGAATGCTACAAGGCCAGGCAGGTGTGGCTCAGTGGCTGAGTGTGGACCCATGAACCTGGAGGCCATGGTTCGATTCCCAGTCGGGGCACATGCCTGGGTTGCGGGCTCCATCCCCAGTGGGGGATGTGTAAGAGGCAGCTGATTGATGATTCTCTCATCATTGATGTTTCCATCTCTCTCTCCCTCTCCCTGAAATAAAAACATATTTAAAAAAAAAAAAAAATGCCACAAGGTCTAATCCTATCAGCAAAAACTCCCCAAAATTCTAGTTCATACACCACCTTTACAGCAATGGAGCGGAAGACTGCCCATAAAACTAGGTATATAGTTCAACAGAAGCAGTCTGAGATAAATGAGAAACTGAAACAAACTATAGAGGAAATTGTATTTAGACCTAGTCCATTAAAAAAAAAAAAAAAAAAAAAAAACCTAGTCTGTCAATCACATTAAGAGGGACGGGTAACACTGCTGAAATGGACCAAATTCAAACATTTTTTTCAAAAAAAGAAACTACACGTCTGTGTTATTTAAATTATGTATCAAAGGACTGATAAGCACTTTCCTAATAATTTCAGCTTAAATTCTCTTTCTCCACAACTATGAAAAAGCTACTCTCAAAAGGAAAATGGCAGCTTGGCAGAGGACACCAAGGGATCCACGTTAACGATACCAACAATGGACCAAGAGACATCACATGACCCCTGACGTGGCACCTGAAGGGCACATCATTTATGGAGCATCCCTGCGTCTAATCATGAAGAAGCAGACAAGTCCAAAATGAAGGACATTCTACAAAACTTGACTGTCCTCTTTAAAAATGTCAAAGTCATGCCCGGCCGGGCGTGGCTCAGCGGTTGAGCGTCGACCTAGGATCCGGGCGATCGGGGTTCGATTCCCGGTCAGGGCACACGCCCGGGTTGTGGGCTTGATCAATGACTCTCTCATCATTGATGTTTCTATCTCTCTCCTTCTCCTTTCCTCTCTCTGAAATCAATAAAAGATATATTTAAAATTAAATAAATAAATAAATAAAAATGTCAAGGTCATGAAAAACAAGGAATGGCCGACGACTAAAGAGACATGACAACTAAGTCTCACACACAGGTCCAGGATTTTTGGGGGCAGAGGAGGTAGATATGAAGAACATTACAACTGTTAAAATTTGAACATGAATTCCACAGTAGATATTAGACTGTCTCAATGCTACATTTCCTGTGTGACAACACACAAAAAGGTGATTTTTTTTTTAAAGCAAATGTTCTTAGGAGATATATGCTGAAGTATTTAGGAGCAAAGGGTCATGCTATCTATACTTATTCTTTTTTTAAAAAAATATGTTTTTACTGATTTCAGAGTGAGGGAGAGGGAGAGATAGAAACATCAATGATGAGTCATTGATCAGCTGCCTCCTACAAGCCCCCTACTGGGGATCAAGCCCGAAACCCAGGCATGTGGCCTGAGCAGGAATTGAACTATGACCTGCTGGTTCACAAGTTGATGCTCAACTGCTGAGCCACGCCAGCCGGGCTCTATACTTATTCTTGAATGGTGAGCAAAAAATTTGTATATACAAAATATGGTTAAGCAAACATGGTAAAATGCTATTAATCCGAGAATCTAGGTGAAGGATACATAAGAGTTCACTGTACTAATCCTGTAATTTTTCTGTAATCTGACTTTTCCCCCCATAAACGGTATTAAAAAAAGGTTACTCTCACCACAGATTTGGTGTCCGTGCTATGGCATAACTTGCAGTGTTCCACAAGTCCTTCTTGATCAAAGTTCTTCTCAGGACAATAAGGGCAAGGAAAGGTATAACGGTTTGGGACATTCCTGAAGATGAAAGGCAGGGAAAAAGAAAAACACCTCTGTGAGTGTTTCCATGCAACTTTAGCCACTGTACCCTCCAAAAATGAGCCAAGTTCACACTGAACATGTTATGACAGGGACTGTGATGATTACTTCAGAATCAGGTCAAGTGTTCTGAAAATAACTTATCAGCATTGCTAATATCTGAAGTGACTATCAGAGAGTCTTTCTCTATAACACCCTGATACAAAAACCTGCATCAGCTTTAGCCAGTACAACAATTATACCTCCACTTTCTAAAACTCATACAACTCAACCCCAAACATGCAAAATGTCCAGTGTCTTTGTAGCAAAAGATGACCTTGATCTAAAGGAGTGATTATTTACCTTGGCTGAAGAGACACATCTTTGGTGGTGGCCTTCACACCTTCCATGATGTAATTCTGGTATTTGGAACAGGTAGCCACATGGGCCCGGATCTTGGATAGGAAGAACTTGGACAGGAAGAATCAGAGGCCACAAGTTAGTCAGGCCCAACATCATCCCAAAGCAAGGGTAAGATAAAAACTAGACCTATAGCACCCTGGCAATCATCTTACCAGTCCCCTGGCTGTGCTGATGGGGCTGGACCCCTGACTGTTTGTTGCAGGGTTTCTGTTAAGACCAAGGCTGAGGTTTTACTTAACCAAATCAAGACATGTGCTTCCACTCTACACTAACTCTCCTACAGGTCAACTTTATTCACCATATACTCTCTGCTTACAGACACATTCCAAACCCAGTGAAGTTTTTAAAGTTTTCCATACTAGCATTTAAACTCATCTCCTCACAGCAAGCCAAGAACTACATTCCATTATGTACAGCAAAGAAAAGTGACGATGTAAGTAAAAGGGCAAAGGGCTAGTAATCCTAGTTAAAGTACAAACTGCCAGATTATGATAAATGATCTTCTCAAAAAACCCTAAATCTGAATTCTACTTCTTCTAAAAAATATAGTCTTTGAAATATAGAAAACCCAAAGAGTGCTTCATCACAGATGTTCTAATAAGAAAACATGTAAGGAATAAAGAAATTAAGGGAGATACAGGGAAGAAAAACACTTTCGGAGATATACCATAATACAGTCACTAATCTTTAAAATGGAGAAAATCAAAAGCATATAGGGAAAAAAAAACCCCAAACAAAAAAACACCCATTATGTATGCACGAAGATGAAGGGAGACTTTATTTCAGTATCTTGACTTTCTAAATTAAAGGAAACTGCAAGAAAAAAAAAGCTTCAATATTTGAGCTCTGGCATACCATGATGCTTCTGTCTTACCTCCAGCTAAAGTACTTCAAGCTGCCAACCAGAGCTCCCAATTAAAACAGATAGGAAATAGCCCCATTCAGACTGTACCCACTGTGTATCCTTCATGCTAAATCGTTCTGAAAGAAAGAGTGTACGGTATATCCATTCTAGGGCTATCCAAACTAAGGTGTTAGAGTAATGACATTGATGTGCAAGGCTGTCCAACAGTCCTTTAGTGAAAAAACTGTTTCAAATGTGAAAAAAAGTTGTAGAAACATATAGTATGATCCTATTTTGTGAAAATCCTGTATCTGTTTATCAAATGACAGAAAATATTTTGCAGCCCTCTACACTTTAAAGAGGTAAGCTCTGGAGTGGGGAACAAGTCTACATTATTTTATTTTATTTTTTTGTTCGTTTTCTAATATATCTTTATCGATTTCAGAGAGAGGAAGGGAGAGGGAGAGAGAGAAATAGAAACATCAATGATGAGAAAGTCATCGTTGATTGGCTGCCTCCTGCATGCCCCCAACTGGGGACTGAGCCCGCAATTGGGGCATGTACCCTGACAGGGTATCGAACCACGACCTCCTGGATCCTAGGTCGATGCTCAACCACTGAGCCACACCCAGCTGGGCTATTTTTAATTTTTTTAATTCTCAAAGACATTTTTTCCATTGCTTTTCAAAGAGTGGGAGAGAGGGAGAGAGAAGTCAACGTGAGAGAGACACATCAATTGGTTGCCTCCTGAACCCACCCCAAGCGGGGTGATGAATCAAGCCTGCAACCAAGGTACGTGTCCTTGGCCAGAACTGAACCTGGGACCCTTCAATTCTCGGGCCGACACTCTAACCACTGAGCTAAACTGTCTAGGGCAAGCCTACATTATTTTACATTTCTGTACTGCCTAGAATTAACAAAATCATCATGATTTTAAAAACTGCTAAGTGCCTGGCAGGGCGTGGCTCAGCGGTTGAGCGTGGGCCTAGGATCCAGGAGATCAGGGTTCTATTCCCAGCAAGGGCACATGCCCGGGTTGCGGGCTGGGTCCCCAGCAGGGGCTATGCAGGAGACAGCCGGTTAATGACTCTCTCATCATTGATGTTTCTATCTCTCTCTCTCCCTCTTCCTTCCTCTCTCTCCCTCTTCCTCCCTCTCTCTGAAATCAATAAAGATATATATTTTAAAAAAAAAATTTAAAAAAACCAACCTGCTAAGCCTATGTATATCTCTTGGAAAACAAGAAAATAAGACAACAGTATTTCTCTTTTACAGTTATAACAAATGTTAAAATAAATATACTTGACTCTAATATGATTATACAAAAGATCATGGATGCATTTAGATATTAGATCTTGCTATTAAAATCAAATATTTCATATTGACCTTTGTATCATGATTCATTCTTCCCTGTCAAGTGCTAAAAAGCTGATTAAATTGATTTTGAGAGAGAGGAAGGGCAGGGGGAGAGAGAGAGAAACATTGATTGGCTGCCTCCCACACATGCCCTGACTGGGGATCAAACCCACAACCTGGGTAGGTGCCCTGACTGTGAATCGAACTCGCCACCTTTTGGTGTATGGGACGACGCTCCAACCAACTGAGCCACACCGGCCAGGGCTGATATAGATTTTTAAATTTCCTCTCAAACTAACTGCAGCAGATAACTTTTTTGAGTCACCGACTACATTTTATATTTAAAAATATCATTGTCATTATATTCTAATTAAAATTGTACATAATGCTTTGGAAAAACCAGTCTTTTATAGGAAAGAACTGGGATAACTGATTTCTATGATTTTCAAAGCTAAAATATGTAATATACTAACTAAGCCAACTCTTAAAAAAAAAACCCAATAAGGTTGCCAAAATGAAACAGCACAGCCACTGCCACAGATAACTAGCATGCACACATGCTATTAGTCATCCATCATGCTCTGCCTTTGGAAACTACATGGCAACAGCTCTACATTTTACCCCATCTCCTCACAGAGAGACTGACTCTTCCGTTTTCCTTTCACATACATTTTTACGGCAGCCATGGCAAGAAGTCTCTGTGCTCTCAATCTGCCGCTCGAGCTCCACGGCTCGTTCGCCAGGTGCCAGAGGGCTGCGACATACCCCACAGACAGGCTTCTTCGGCTTCAGACATTCCTGCAGGCATGCAGAGCAAAAGCTAGAACAAGACATACAGAGAACCTGAGTCATGCATTGTGAAGACAACAAAATGGATAAACTTTTAAAAATCATCAATGAATAATGGATTAAAGACAACTTGCTCCCTGCTCCTGATTCACATACTGAGTCCCCCATGCCAGAAAAATGAGGGTGGGAAGATGGGTCCTGCAAAGCACACACAGGCCCAGCAACAGAAACAAATGCAAACTATTGTGATATGCAGCAAAAGGTATTAAGGTGCACTGAGAGGTTTCCCAAATCTCAGTTTTTCCTTTGTGAAACGAAGATGGTAGTACTCACCTCTAGGCGTGTTGGGAGACCCTTAGGACAGTGTCTAACACATCTGAAATGCATTACAAACAGGAGCTGCTATCATTAGAGGTGAATGCACAGCACTATGAGAACACAGATACAAGAGCAACTAGTTGTGACCTAAGGACAGGGCTGGGAAGACTTTAGAGGCAGCATCTACGAAAGAGCCTTAAAAGAAAGAGTTCAGCTGGCAGAGCAAAGGAACATCCCAGACCTTAAGGCTTAAAAACTCATGATACATCTGAGGAAATAAAAGCCTAACACTTTTCCTCATAAGCAGTAGAGATCCAGATGTTTAAAGCAAAGTATTAATAAGACCAAATCCAAGTTTTAGAAAAATAACCCTGGGATTATCACAGACAATTGAGTTGCCGGTTTAAAAATTTTTTTTAGATGAGGAAAGAGGAGAAGAGACTTGAAGTAGAAGCCAAACAGATGCCTAATGGCAAAGGATTGTGAGGGCCTGACTGAGGCAACAGGGAATGAATTCAGGAAATGATTCAGAGGTGGAATCAGTAGGACTGGTAACTTACTGAATTTGGAGAAGAAAAAAGGCCAAGTTTCTATCTTGAAGCCTAGACAGGTGGTGATGCTGAGATAAAGTACACAGAAAGAATGGATGAGGGAGCATAAAAATACTCCCAACCTGATAGGTTTAAGGGAGGATGTATATACTCAAAGGTAATCTGCACAACTGACAATTTTTTACTGTCTCTTAAGATTTTTGTTCTCTGTCATTAAGCTATGTTATCCTGCTAGGCAAAATTCTAGACCAAGCTGGGAGAAGGTGAGGGGGTCTACTGATTCACCACTGAAGGCACAATGTTGAATTAAACTAAGTTCCCTTCTTCATAATACTTCTGTTCCAGAGTGAAGAAAAACACAAATGTTAGTTTCAGACAGTGATTAAATGCATGGAGGAAATAAGCAATGAGATCAGCTGGGGTGGATCACAGAAAGTTTCATTAAGAAGGTAACATATGAACCCAGCCGGGCGTGGCTCAGCGGTTGAGCATCGACCTAGGATCCAGGAGATCAGGGTTTGATTCCTGGTCAGGGTACATGCCCGGTTGCGGGCTAGGCAGCCGATCAATGACTCTCTTCATCATTGATGTTTCTATCTCTCTCTCTCTCCCCCTCCTTCCCTCTCTCTGAAATCAATAAAGATATGGTAGGTGTGTTTTTTTTTAAAAAAAAAGGTAAAATATGAGCTAAGACCAAAAATTGTGAGAAGAGCCACACAGACCTGGATGCAGAGTTCCACACAAAAATAACACCAAGTGCAGAAGGTTTCTGAATCATGCCCAAGAAAATAGCATGCTTTCAGTTTCCATTTTCTATATATACAGGCCTTTTTCTAGTTCACCCTTTTAGATGTTCTACCTTTCCTGTTAGTCCTTTCTCCTGAGCTCCCAGCCACCTTCCCTTCTCCAGCTGTATTCCACTAGACTGGAGAAGGGTATGGTCATTTAGAGCTTGAAATAAAGTTTTATAAACACCTAATGCTATGCCCAGCCAGAGCTGCAGTGATGCTCAAGTTTCCAAGCACAAAAGCTAGCAAAAACCAACTAAGCAGAGCAAAAAGCTTTTGTCTGGCCTAAGGGAGACTCAGAGAGGTGTATCCATCTGTGCATCATTTTCAACACTGAAATGACAAACATGTGGAACTAGAATGGTGAGTACTGAAGAGTCAAGGTTTGAATCCCAGTACTGTCCCTTGACCTCTGACTAAGCAATGCTCATCTGGCTCAAGGAAACCTCCAATTCTGCTGCTCTTCAGTTGGTAAATTCTGCTAGATCAAGCTTCTTTATTCATCCATTACCTGCCCCCATTTGATTCCTATAATACCCTTCCACTGCACAGTGCATTTTCACAACAGCCTGAACATTTGCTGGTACTTATCAATTCACTGGATTGTGAACTCTGAGGAAATAATCACCTTATTTCTCACTATGCCCCAAGAATCTGACACATAGCGGGCATATAAATATTTTGGTCTGTTGAACATAAGATTGGAAGATGGATGCTCGCTGTGCTGGGCACTGGGTATATATAAGGGGGCAAAATAGATATGGTCACTGCCCTCATGACCCTAAATTTTGCTCTGTGCAAGAAACTGGAGGTTATTTAAGTGGGAATGGTGATAAAGGAGACAGCAAATTGGGACTTAAAATCTGATAAGGATTTGGAATAGTGGTGAAGGGGGTACAGATGGGACAGGAAGAGTTCCAGACAAAAAAAACAACAACAGCAAACATAATAGCTCAAAGCTAGAGAGAGCTTCGTGTACTTGAAGAAGCAGAAAGCAGTCAATGTGGCCAGGGAGCCCTTGCCAGGTGCCAACTGTTCTCTGGGCTGGCAAACAGATGCCTGCAGTCCTAGAAGAGCTAGACAATGTACTCTGTACTCTCACCTGCAAAATGGCTGCCAACCCTCTTTCTCTGCGGGATTGCTGCAGAAATAATGCCTGTGAAGCCCAGCAGGTGCCTATTGTGCTTACTGACCAGTGAAGGGGTCCAAAAACCAATGCCAAGGTGATATCCATGATACGCACTGAAGTGGACCATGGAGAAAATGTCAACTCCCGGAGGCGAGAAGTAGGTGGCCAAGTTCTCTACAATTCTTTCACTTTAGGTGTCTGTGTGTCTGATGGAGCAAGGCCGAGATTCAAATCTGGCCAAACTCAAAAACACCTACCCCAGCCCAGACCGGTACTGACATTTCCACATACACCTCCTTTAGTCGTCCCAACGTCTGTTAGAAATATGCAGGCCACGGGGGCTTAATTCCAAACAGCATGAAACACACCTGTTCCCACCTAAGTAGGAATGCTAACAATCCCTAGCTGCCAACTCTCAACCTCTTTCACAGTTAAGGGCTGATTAGTCAGATTTATATCAAGACTTCCTTTTTGTTCTTTTAGCCTAGCTCAGTGTTTCTCCAACTTTAGTCCACATTAGAATTGCTTGGCAGAGCTGGATACATGACGCCAGATGTACTACACTTTAGGGGCAATGGACGCACTATTCAAGGGAAACTGTAGCTCTCGAGGCAGACTCTGGTCCCTACCTAACCCCCAGCGGAGTGTAACTACACTATCACGCGTGGGAAGGAGCTGACAGGCCGCTTGGAATACAGTAGGAGCTCATCAGAAGGGCGGGATACTTAGGAGTGAGCAGGGCAACTTTCACGGGTCTTCAGGAGCCCGCGAGGGCTCCTCGGAGAGGCCACTTTGGGCCGGTCCTCCCGCTCCCGCCCGAGACCCTCCCTGCTGGGGCCTCGCCCCTCGGCTCCACTCCCCTCCGCCCAGTCAGGCGCCCCCCGACCAGGCCCGGGCTCGCTGCTTACACGTGTCCGCAGAGCACCCGCACCGGCTTCTCGTACACCTCTAAACACACGGGACACGTGAAGCGACCCAGCGGGTCGGCCTCCGCCGCGGGCCCAGCCAGCTGCGCACCACCCTCACGGTCCTGCTGTTGCGCCGCCATCTTGCTGCCGCGGAGCGGAACGTAACGGCGGCCGAGAAGGAGGAGCCCGAT